TCCCTAACCATAAAACTTGTAAGGACTCCAATTAGCATTGTCAGTATGAGCTAAAGTTGTCATGCACAGGGTTGTAATGTACAGTGGGGACTTGAAAATCCGATGTAATCCTGCAGTCAGTCAAAAGTTAAGARGTGGACTTGGGTGGAATTCTCAGGAAATTTTCTTGGGACCTCCAATAAAAAAGCTTGCTTAAGTATTTAGTTAAGTTACTAAATCTCTCTGTGCTTCACTTTCTTATTTACAAAATAAGGACAATAACCACTTATCTTGCACAACTGTGCAGAATTAGAGATGGTGTAGTACAGTACAAAGGCAATATTAATGCTTACTAATATTCTTTCATTTTATTTTTCAAGATTTGTCACTCAGGAAATACAAATTAACTTGAGATTGAAATAAAAAATATGAACCAGAAAGGGAACTTTGGATTCAATATTCCCATTCATATTTRTAAACAACCAATCAAAATAAACACATCCTTGACAGCTTTACTGTGATTTAGAATAAGAAGAATTAAAAGGAAACAAATACTATTTAGTAAGCAATTTTAAAACAAAGAGATTAAAATGACACATTATTGTACAACTAGAGGTGTACTTCATTTTTCTGGTAAGTTTCTGTTAAGAAACTGTTAAYATGATATTATATATCATGGAATAATAAATATAACCAATATCTAMATCTGTACATTCTTTACATAAGGAAAGGCAAATTGAACAACTTAAGTACAATTAAGATTTTATCTAAATTGGCTACAGGGTTTGAGATCATAAAAGTTAATAAATAACATTATTAATACAAGAAATTATACTCTTATCAATTTGATATCATTAAATTTTATATCATAAAATTTCTAATCTTCTATTACATTATAATATCCTAGTAATATAACTGGGTTAGTTAYAGTAATTCCTTGAGAAAAATATGAATTCAAAAGTATACCAAACAACTGAAATCTAAAGTACTTACATGCAGTATACAAATATGCAACAGCTGTAAATCATTGGGAGTTCATCCAATAGCTATATGAAATAAAGAGAGATAACAGGCTTGAATATATAGAGGTACAATTATACAAATCAAAATAAAACATCATAATAATTGAGATTATCATTTCTTGAGCTGGTGATGTAGCTCAGTGGTAGAATGTATGATTAGCATGCACAGGCCCTGGGTTTAATCCCCAGCTCCACATAGACATAAAACATTGATGTCTTCTCTTAATTTCTTTTACTAATTTATATATTTATCATCATCTAATGAGACAGACATGAATAGTGGGTATATAAGGTTAGGAAGAGACAGACATGAATAGTGGAAATATAAGGTTAAGGAAGCRATTCTATAAACTGGAATAGTTTGTTGTTTTTGAACAAACGAGGTTATTCATCCATCTGTCCTAATSCATACACCTAAGTAGCATACCTGACTCACTATTTCTGGAAGGCAGCCTTGTAATCATGCTGCTCATATCACTTGGTATCACAAACTTGGTATCACATACTTCCAAGAAATAATGTAGAGCCTATCAGTATTCTTTTGTATTTCCTTCCTATAACACCTTAAATAGATACAATGTCCACTAACACAAATAAAAAGAGATATTAATGGTCAGGGAAATAATTTCATTAATCTCTGAAATTAATATCTAAAAAGAATACTATTATTTATGCAATAATAATAGTAATTATGATCATTATATATTAAACTGCTTACTGAATGCTAAGCTATTGTATATAGGTTATTTATAATCCTCAAACCAAACTTAAAGAATTCATTTATCACTAGATACACAACTAGTTCTTTTTTGTTTTCCCCTTTGGGTACCCAGGGGCACTTTACCATGGAGCCACAGTCCCAGCCATTTTTATTTTTTTATTTTTGAGACAGG